GGTTATATGTTCAAACTTTCATGAAAGAAAGTCATTCTCACTTGCTGACATTACTATAATATGATTCACTGACAATTATAATTTACTTATATACGTGTTTTTATAAATTTTCCCTATGTCAGAAATGATAATTAGCTATCTATCCCAACCAGCTATTTAAACATCTCTTTTCAAGCAGGAGAACTGCTCTACAATTTATTTCTTTCCTCCCTGTGATTGTTTTGTATAGTATATTGTGTATCCATACATAATGGTTGTAGATATTTAAAGACAAGATGTGGAAACAATTTTGTAATTTATGATGCATTCTAGAGCATAGAATTTAAAACTTGCCACACACAATATTTGGCCATTTGTTCCATCTTCATTTGTTTACTATGTGTTTGAGAGGAGAGTAAATGCAAAAGTAAAATGATTTCCTGGTTTTATGTCTAAAGTTTCTTATGACTTGAAGTAGTAGAAGCATCTGACTAAAACATAAGGTTTGAAATTAGGCATCTGATGGGAGGAGGAGGGAAATGCAATTTTATAATCTAATGGTACAGAACTAATGCTTACAGCCTCAGCTAACACTTCTACCTAAAGGAACATATTTCCTCCATTTTTTTTTTTTGTTGTTTATTTGGTATTGGGGGTCAAACTCAGGGCCTCATGCTTGTGAGGCAGGTGGCAGAAACACTGAGCCAAATGCCCTGCCCATTTCCTCCATTATTTGTCTTACTCTCCAGATATAAAGGATATTACAATGAAACAAAAGTAATGATTACAGAATATTCAAGGCCAGATACAGAAAATTTCTTTCATCCATTGATGCAAATACATCATCATCTTACAAATGTTTTGGAACAAAGCTGGTTAGGATAAACAAAACATTGGGAAATGAGTAAAAATTGCATAGGCTATATTTGGTATTTAAATGATGTTCACTGTTAACTTTATTACAGGATAAAATATGTGCCTTAACAATGTGCTTTGAAATTCTCTAAATTTACCATGCCTTGTATATGCCCTATGTTGTTCATTATGTACCTACAGATAATCCAAATGTTTCTGAAAGTGTAATAAAGTCTTCAGCTTCCCACTTTTCTCAAACCAACAGATTTCAGGGACTTTCATTATTTTAAGATTTATGATAAATACATGTGAGTACTAAAGTAGAATTATTATAGGAACTCTGAAATTAGAATTGCACATTCCTTACACAGGATTACAGTATATAGGTAAACAAGAAGGCAATTGTGTTGTTAACATAGAGATTGAACTTGTAATGATTTTATCCATGGTGCTTGTGTAAAACGAGGTGGTCTCATTTGCAATGCATTTCATCAGAAGGAGCTCTACTCCCTCTTTTTCTTCCTTTTCATCTTCAAAAACTTCTGAGAAATAATAAAGCAACATTTTATGACAAGTAGAGTAATGGTCACCACACCAGCCAGTAGGAACCCAATCACATCCAGTGAGTGGTACTGGTACCAGGTGAGGTTCTGGGCAAGTGGCCTCAGGTGCTTGGCTCCTTTGTGACGCATGACAAACTCGATCCAGAAGGCTGCTCGGTCCAGGGGCTTCATGGGTTGATCGTGGTGAATGGTTGACAACCACATAGCATTCTCCTTATAGCTGAAGGCAATGAATATATTTAGAATTTTTTAGAAATGTTAAAATGCGAATTTTTAGAGGTTGTAAAAATGAATGCAGCAAGTGTAAAAAACAAAACTGTTAATAGACCTTTGGACAAGGTAAAAATTAGTACCACAGTTTAAATCAAAAGCAAATAAATCCTTGTCATAGTTCTTACTACATGTGTGAGTAAACTTATTAAGACTTACAGTGGGCCAGGGATTTAGCTCAATGGTTCGGTGGCCTGCCTTGCAAGTGCAAGGACCCGAGTTCAAACGGAAAAAAAAAAAAAAAAAAAAAAAAAAAAGACTTACAGTATTGAATGAAAACCAGTATTGCAACTTTATGAATTCATTAATCATTTCAAATGTAAAAGAGTTGCCTTTTTAGAATTGTGTATTGACTTTTATTTATTTTCTTTTTATAAATATCTGTTTTGAATTAATAGATGAATCCAATGCATAGAACCCCTATAACATCCATGATTCCTGTTTACTGCTTACCTCATATTTCTTGAAATTTCTCTGTGACCTTCCTCACTGATTTTTCTCATTAATTTACAGGCTATATCAACAGTTTGCACTTTGCTTAACCTTGAATAAATTTTGAGCATCACTGAAAACATTTATTGTTACATTCTCACTTTGTAACTAATGATGGCTTCAGCATTAAGCAAATTTATATTTCATTATTTTATTTCAGACTCATTGCTACTTCTGTGGCTTTCATTTAAAACCTTAATCAATAAGTACTATGAAGATTTTTCTAAAAAGTTTGTACTCACGAGGGACTGTTAAGGACCATCTTCAATGCATTTAGCAGTTCTGTGCTTGATATTGTCAAGAAATTTACATTAACAGCTGCTCCTTTATCCGTCATATAAGCAATGTTATCATGCTGTTCCCCAAACAAAGGAATGCCCACCATAGGGATCCCATGGTAGATCGCCTCGTAAACACCGTTGGCTCCACCATGAGTGACAAAAGCTCTTGTTTTTGGATGACCTAAGAGTAGGTGAGTGTCAGCAGAATAATTATTTATAAATTTTAGAAATACAACAAGAAATCAACAATATGAGTCACTGAAAGTGTTTGTGTTTTATTGATAAAGATTGTGAATCAATGAAACTGCAATGATATTGCTTTCATATCTCAGAGAAAGATGCACCTAATCCAGGGGAAAAGAAAGTGTGTGCTACCTGGCAGATATGGCTGACTTCAGCAATGAATACCTGATTGCCAGGAAAAGTTTATATAATGTAATAAAATAAACCAAGTACCATAGAAGGATCATGTTTGTATTAGAACTTATTTTCTTAAAGAGTAGTTCATTCCCTACATTTGATATAAAAGTTGTGCAGGTCAGCAAAATGTGATATTGGTACAAAAATGTGATATTAATTCATGATAAAAAATGTCTGTTTTTCACATTTAAAATACAGCATCACTGAAAATGTAATAATTTCAGTAATGTTTCTTATCCCCCATTTTCTGTGGAAAGACAGGTGCAAGACAGCTCAGGAATTTATTGCAATATCTTCACTGAGAAATAAATGGACTTGAACTGAAGATTTAATATTGTTTTTGAGAATAACAAAAATCAACTATTGCAATTCATTATGCTTCCCCTAAGATTGCAAATATACAATGAAGTTTGGTTTTAGTTTTGATTTTCTAACAACAGATATTCCCTGGTTTGTTCCATCTTCAGCTACCACCATTCCTATGGATTTAGGTTTTCAGTATTTGTTCTCCAGTATCTTACCAAGTAGGTCATTCTGAGGAAGCCACTTGTACAAGCGAGTGTTGGATCCTAAGGTATCTGGTTTCTTGCCTTCAAATCTCCAAAGAACCTATTAGGCAAAGACTGCATTACTACATATGTTGAATTTTAAAATTTAGCGACCACCAAGTTGTGTCTTTCTCAGAGTAGATTTTTAAAATGAGGACAAGGAGATTAAATTTTAAAAATGGCAAAATGACTGAGACAAATAGAATACAAATGTTTTTTATACTTATTTTATGTTTAATTGTTTTGAATGTAATCATTTTCACCCATAGTGAGTAAGAAAACTAAGATTCTATGTACCATTAAAATATATCAGAAATTGCTATGCAATCATAAATTTTTACAAATAATAGAAATTTGTAATGTTTTGAATCTTAATATATGTTTGTGACACAAACTCTCTTGTTCTGATCGTAATACAAACCAATTTTTAAAAATTATCACTATAGTTTAATCAGAATATCTTGTTTCAGAAGCTATTTTATTAGAACCAATGCTAATGGATGGATAAAATATATTTTTTTGAGGTATAAACTATCTAATAATCCACATAATCAACTTTTTCCCAGAAGTCATTTTATTGATAGTACAAAGTACATTTAATTTTATTTTCTATTCAAAACTGTTCATCCCTAGTTAGAGGAAAAGTTTCAAATGACATTCTCAAGAAGAATCCAAAGTACTATCACTACTGCTAGGATTGGAAATTACATTTAATGAATACGTTCTGTTGGTAGTTCATAAATAATGTAGCTTTTTGAAATAAATGAATATTTAAAATGATTAAATTTTCTTCAAATAATTCTATATTCTTCCATGATTCAGAACAATGTATTGACAACAGAGATTAATATGGTCTTGCATTGCCCTAGCACTTTATTACCCTGTTGTAAAATGAGGACTGGGTTTAAAATATCATGCTCTTCTCTTAAACTGTGGCATTATTTACAAATATTTGAGCTATATTTACATTCAAGATTGTTGAAAGTAACTGAAGCTACTCAACTAAAAATCAGCATAAGGGAGTACAAAACTGCTGTATTGACAGTAACTAAAATCTACTGTAGTTCACAATTATTCAAAGATTGAAAATGAAATACATATGTTAGAAAATTAATCTCTATTTTTTGTGATAGAGAAGAGCTCTGAACATCATCCCACGAAAGGATTCTTTCTCTTTGACTCTTATTTCAGTTTTGCTTTCTTGATCAGGAGGACATTAAACTGATGGGATAACAGCAGAGTCCTTGTAAAGCATATTTTACAGTATACGGGTTTCACTGCAATTGAAGACACCAACTGCATTCCATTTTCTATATCTTCCTGTTAGGGAATGGATCATGTTAAAGTATTTTGTGACACTGCCATTTTGGGCTGGATTTTTGGGTTCTTCTACCCCTAAACCCTTGTTTTAACTTTCATTTTCCCCAAGACCACGTCAGTATATAGAATTGAAACTTAGAGCTTCTACAAAGCAAGAATTTTAAACGGCAACATTGCTTGTGATAGGTTGAGGACAGCCTACCACACCCTAATGGGAAGGTCTTTGGCCCTAAGCCCCATAATAGGTCAGCACTCCCTTCTCTCTCTCTCTCTCTCTCTCTCTCTCTCTCTCTGCTCTGCTCCCCTGAATAAAATCTCCAGTTGTACCTCTCTTGGTGTGTGTAGCCTAGTTGTTGAGCTTTCCTGTTCCCTTTCATTGGTGTCAGAAGTGGGATCTGGTATTGCTGGGCTCACACGTTAACATACCTGGGGACCTGAAACCTGGATACTGAGATGCTCCAACGCAGCCCCACCCAAAGTCCGCTACAACCTTCCTTGGTGTTGATCTCTCAGGCAACACCAGTCCACCCGTTTTCAGGCCTGCACCGGATATTGGGTAAGTTCCCCTATTCTAAGATATCTTTCAGGTAGCGGGAGATCCCAGGGTCCCAGATCCCCATGACGATCACATGCAGGACAAGGCCGGGCACCAGGCCCTCTGTCTCACACCTAGCAAACCACTGAGTTTGCCGAGTTGGGTCTAGTACTTAGGTCCACGTTCTCTAGCAAGCCTCTGGGTTTGCTAAGTTGAGCCCAGGATTTAACTCCACATAAACTCCTATCTTGTGCAAGGGATGCCCTCACAGGAGACCGAGTTCCACCCTTTCAGACACTGGTCTGAAAAGGAGGTCTTATCTGAATTTTAAGAGATGTCTGGACTTCTGATAACCCCCTCCACTGTCCTTCTGGTGGTCATGGGCTCTGGATCTTCCATACCTGAAGACTCTCCTTTGGGATGCTTAATCAGAAATTTGGATTGCCTCAAACTAAAATCCAAGCAGCTAATTCACTTATCCACTCAAATTTGGCCTCAATATCAATTAGACAATCAAAATGTCTGGCCGCCTAATGGCTCCCTTGAACTGGGTCTAATTCAAGACCTATATAACTTTTGTGAGCATAAAGGAAAATGGTCAGAAATTCCATATGTTCAAGGCTTTTCTTATATTAGCCACCAGCCTTCTCTTTGTTCCACCACCAAGAAATCACCTCTCCCTCTATTGCCTCTCCCCAAGCTTCTGGTAGCCTGCAGTCCCTCCATCGCCACTTCCCTTCCTCTTAACTCTTCAGGCCAGCTTGATCCAGCTGATGGCCCTCCCCCATATCTGACCCCCAGCCCAAAAAACCAACCCATTCCTCCCCACTCCTCTCATCTGGTTTTTCCTCTCTTCCTACTCCCCCTACCCCTCCCATCACCTCCACACATCTCAGCTCAGCTGCTCCACCCTATGCCCCAACTTCACCCCTTACCTGCTTCAAGTCCCAAGCAAGCGACATGATTGCACCTTAATGCAAAGTAGCAGAGGTAGAAGGCATTTTCCCCATTCATACTCCCTTCCCCATGATTGAATTAGCCCTCATCCAAGCCAGACTTGAATCTTTCACTGCTGATATGACAACCTTTGTAAAACAATTTCACCTCTTGATACAGTCTTATCAATTAACCTGTCATGATCTTTTTGTTGTCCTCACCAGTGCTTTAACTCCTGAAGAAGACAAAAGAATGCTGGATCAGGCCTGTGCCCATGCTGATCAGGAACACTTGACAAACAATCATCATCCCATAGGTGCTGTTGCAGTCCTGGAGCGAGATCCAGACTGGGATTATAACACGGAGGCAGGAATTGAAGCTCAAGACAGGTATATTAATTGTCTTCTTCATGGGCTCTGTAAAGCCACCATGAAGTTTGTCAACTATGAGGCTTAATAAGATTATACAGGATAAAAGTGAAAATCTGTCTGCCTTCTTACAAAGGCTGACTGATGGCCTCTGTCAACACACCAAACTTGACCCTGAGTCTGTTGATGGCCAGAGATTGATTATGATGCATTTCTTTTCTAAAGCTATCCTGATATTAGACTTAAGTTAAAAAAACTGGAAAGGGGACATTTGACTCCCCTCAACAGTATTCAAACTCTGTTATGCCTGTGATGATCTCCAGATCACCAAAAAGCACCAGTTATTTGCACAAGCTTTCAATCCTGCTATGCCACAGGCATCTCAAAGAAAGGGACCCCCTCAAGGGGCTCCCTACCCATGGGGACCCTGTTTCTGGTGTAATCAAAAAGGACATTGGGGCAGTGACTGCCCAAATCCCAAGGCGTCCACAAAGCCTTGCTCTAAGTGACAACAGAGGGGACACTGGGGTTTCAGCTGCCCTCTGGTATCCACATTTTTCAGTCTACTGGCCCTGCCACTTTGCTGAGTGATGATCTGATAGGTCTGGTGGCAGCTGCAGGGCTATGAAGAGGCCCTGGCACAACTGGCCCAACATGGATCAACACCCAGGAGCCCAGGATGACCTTGATTGTGGCAGATAGGACTATTGTTTTCCCATTAGACACTGGTGCCAGCATTTTTGGATTGAGAGAATATTGAGGACCTACCTCCCTGTCTCAGACCTCTACGGTTGGGTTAGAAGGTCAAAAGCATTGCCCTTGACAGACTCCTCTGCTGTCATGCACAATTGGTCATTTTTCATTTCTTCATTCCTTCCTAGTCCTCCTATCCTGTCCCATTCCCTTATTGGGCCCTGACATTTTATCCCAAATTGGGGCATCCATTCGTTTTTCTATGCACAGCCCTTCCAGCATTCCGATGTCTTCCTTTTGTCTTTTGTTATCCCAAGATATTGAACCTCCAGTCTCCACATCCAAATGGCTGATTAGTCCCTCTCTCATAGACCCCCAGATGTAGGATGTTCAATCTCCTTCACTGGCCAAATGCCCCCTGGTTAAGGTCCTCCTCAAAGATCCCTCTCAATTTCCAAATCAGGCACAATATACCCTCCCTCATGCAAGCCTAGAGGGGTTAGTTCCCTCATAAATAGCCTATTACAAAAAGGTTTCCAAGACCCACCAACTCTCCATTCAATACCCCATCTTGACAGTAAAAAAATCTAATGGGACATATCAACAGGTTCAAGACCTCCAAATCATTAATTCTGCCATTGTTCCCATTCAACCTGTTATGCCCAATACCTACAGTCTCCTGTCCTCAATCCCGTCTAAAGCCACCCATTTTTCTGTTCTAGACCTCAAAAATGCTTTCTTTTTGATCCCCTTACATAGAGATTCCCAAGATATCTTTGCATTTACCTGGACTGATCCCATCTTTAATATATTTACTCAATTAATCTAGACTGTATTGCCCCAGAGTTTCAGAGACAGTCCCCACCTGTTTGGTCAAATTCCAGCCCAAGATTTATCCCTTCTCCAACTTCAAGGTTCATGATGTATCCAATACATAGATGACCTCCTCCTTTGTGCTCCTTCATTACTTATGCTCCAACATGATACTTAAATGCTTTTAAATTTCATTTGCAAGAGAGGATATCAAGTTTCCCCAACAAAGGTCCAACTCTTCAAACAACAGGTCACCTATTTGGGGGTATCTCTAACACCTGGTTTTAAGTCTATTATAGTAGATAGAAAATGGGTTCTCCGAGATGTTCCTACACCCTCCACCAAGAAAGAGCTCCTTTCCTTTTTTGGAATGGCTGATATCTTTGATGCTGGATTCCCAACTATTTCCTGCTGGCAGTTCCTCTTTATGAGGCCTCTAAAGGAGAATCCCATGAGGCTATAGATACTTCTATAACCACACTGTTTTTTTTATCTTAAGTCCAGCCTATTAGAGGCCCATGCTTTACACCTCCGTGATCTGCCAAGATTCTTTCATCTTTATGTGTCAGGAAATAAAGGATTTGCACTTGGGACCCTGGGCCATCAGTTAGGACCCACATTTGTGCCCGTGGCCTACTTATCTAAATGGTGAGATCCCACCACCAGAGGTTGGGCCCCCTGCTTGTGAAGCCTAACTGCCACCTCTCTCTGAGTTCAAGAATAAAAAAAACTCACTTATGGATCCCGCACCGTGGTACTTTCCCGTCATTCCTTCTCAGATTTATTAAATTATAAACATCTGCAACATCTCCCCCCATGTAGAGTTCTGTCCTTTCAGACTGTGATTCTACATGATTCCTCCTTAACTTTTCAGCTTTGTGCTGCCCTTAATCCCTCTTCTCTGTTGCCAATTCCTGAACAAGATGCCTCCATTCATGAATGTTTAGAGACCCTTGAAAATCTCCTGCCCCAAAGTCTCATGTACTAGAAGGCCACCTCCACTTCTCTGATTTGGTTTGGTTTACAGATGGCAGCTCTTTTACCAAAGATAAAATTAAAAGGGCAGGATATGCCATAGTCTCCCATTCTGAAATTATAGAACAAGGATCCTTACCCACACAACCAATCAACAGGCAGAGCTCATTGCCCTCACCCAGGCCTTTGTCTTGGCCCCAGGTAAGTGGCTTACAATCTATGCAGACTCTAAGTATACCTTTCATATTCTCCTCTCACATACAGCAATCTGGTGTGAAAGAGTATTTTGTTCCACAAAGGGCAGTTTCATTCAAAATTCTAAATTTATAACAGAACTCCTACAGGCCTCCAGGCTACTGTTGGCAATTGGAATCGTCCATTATAAGGCCCATCAGTCAGGCTCATCAGAAGTAACAAGGGCAAACAACAAAGCTGATAAGGTGGCACGAGAAGCTGCCTTTAATTCAGAGGCTGTCGCAAACCCTGATTTTATGGTGTTCCTGACTTTGATAGATTATCCTGATGACAAAAAAACCTCCTAATCAGACCTTTACCTTAACTAGCGATCAGCTTATCTATGTACATAAGCTTTTCGTTCCTGGCTCTAAGACCCTTTTGGCCTTTTTGGAACCTATAATCACTCTTTCTCCCTCTGACAGATCATTTCTCCAAAATCTTTCTTCCACGTTTCTGGTATGTCAAAGGTCCAATCCTTTCTTGAGACCTACCCCCTTCCCCACAAATCAGGCTAGGGCATGTTACCGGGTATGGGTTATCAAATTGATTTTACCCACATACCCAATGTAAAGAGGTACAAATGCTTACTGGTGCCAATAGATACTTTCTCCAGATGGGCTGAAGCCTTTCCTACTTCAAACAAACATGCTCTCACTGTCTTTCTTTTGATCTTCAAAGAAATCATACCTAGGTTTGGACTTCCCACCTCTTTCCAATCCTGTAATGGAGCTGAGTTCACCTCTCAAGTGATCCAGGGTCTTGCCAAGTTAATGGGAATTTCCTGGCACTTTCATATTCCATTCTATCCCCAATCATCTAGAAAAGTGCAGCGTACCAAGAGGTCCATTAAGTCAATCCTTACTAAGTTAACCCTAGAGCTTCATATGGATTGGGTTACTCTTTTATCTCTTGTCTTATTAAGGTTGAGGTCCCTACCTAAGGCCCCTCTTCAAATTTCCCATTTGAATTGATGTTCAGGCATCCCTTGTTACCACTGGGACTGGATGCTCAACCCTCCCCCTACCCTCTACCTTGTTGGTCTCTTTACTTGCCCTAATGCTAGCTCAGATATGGCAGCATGATAATTCATTGTTGCTTTGCCTGGCCTCCCTCTACCCTCCCAACCACATATCATCCTAGAGATCAGGTCTTCTTGGCCCCACCTCATGAGCAAAATGATTCCCTCAAGCATAAGTTACAAGGGATATTTATGGTGATCTTGTCCACTCCAACCATGGTTAAACTTAAGTCCTTCCATGGTTGGTTTCATTGTTCTCATGTCAAACTCTACCTGTCACTCCAACAGGATCTTCTCCATCCTACTCTGCAACCCCCAAAGGACCTCTCAAAATGAAACTCACGAGAGTCACAGAAGAGTCTTCCAATAAAGACCCGAGCCTGCCAAGAACTCCAGTCTAAAAAACATGAGCACTCTCATGGGATATTGTGAGGCCTTTGACATCCAGCTTTGCTTAGTTTTTGTATATT